ATATATATTTTTTTTGCTGACAATCACAAAAAATTGTTTTTAGATGTTTTAAAGGCGTCAAGCAAAGGGGAAAAAAAAAATTTTTTTAAACCATCTAACATCAGATAAAAGCATCAAAACTATTCAATGCTGTTGCGAGTGCTGATACTGTTCGACCGTTGCTGATGATGCTGCTGCAATATTCACTATCGTTTCTTCGTCAATTCATTCATTTATTCATTTCAACTATTCTCTATTTTCTCATCATTGATTTAAAAATTCTTCAATTTGCATTACCCCCCACCTGCATGCCGTTTCTCCAGAATCTAATCACCTGTTGGCTGCTGTAACCGAGCGCTGAACAGAGGATACTGAACAATCGAACAGAAGTAAAAGTGAACGATGTAACTAGTGAATTTCAGAGGCTTAAAAATTACAACAAATAAATTACCCAAAAATTTTTTTTTCACTCTTTTAAACAATAAAAAGTTGTGGAAAAAAAAGATAACAGCAATAATAAGAAATAAAATAAAAAATAAAATACTGCCAGAAAAAAAAAAAAAAAACGAGTATTTTCTGTAAGTGTTGCCTCTAATTTTTTAGGGTGGAGAATTCAAATTAACCTTTTCCTATAGTTTGCAATTAATTCGTTTCTTTGGTCCTCCCTTTTTGCACAGTTTTATTTGCTTTTTTTTTTTTTGGAAACCAAACGAAAATGCAGTTTTGCATTTTTTTTTTTTCTTCTGCTAAATACGTTTATTTCGTTTAATTTCTCCCCTTCTTTTTTTGTGGCTTCTTTCTTTTTCTCCCAATCATCTTTACAGTTTCTTTATTTGATTCCATTTTTGCCAAACAACAACCAACAAAATGTTTTTCGTCTTCCACCTTTGATCCTTTTCTTAGCTCTACCAATTCTTTTTTGGGTTTTTTTTGGGTTTTTTTTGCTTTAACAGCCTTTGAGGACGTTTAATTTTTTAGATTTGGTACATTGCATATATAACAAATACAAACATAGAAAATGCCGACTGAAGTTCAAAAAAAAAAAAAGCCAGCAAGAAAGATATTTTCTACAAAAAGAAAAAAAAAAAAGTAACGCAAAATTGCAGCAGAAATATTCGTCTTCAGTTAGTCAATTCGTTATAATCGACTGGGGAAAGAAAGGAAAGAGGAAAGAAAGGTAAAACCGGTGATTATGTGTGATCATCACTGAACAAAGGAATGAGTAAAAAATGTTAAAAAAGAAAAAAGAAATTAGAAGAAAGGAAAAAGTAGACAAAAAACAATTTGGAAAGCGATATTACATTTTCAGTTTCTGTTTTGCTCAATCTTCCTTTTTTAATCCGGAAAAAAGCAATTAAATGCATCTGTTTCATCTGTTGTCATCGTCATCTGTCTCTGTGTATTCAACTAAAAAATAAAGCAAAAAATGTAATGAATAGAAGAACGCTAAGTAATAATTATAAAAAAAAAAAAAAATATCAGGTGAAAAAAATACTAAAAGTTGTTGTTTTCGATATCTTAAGAATTAGTTTGAACAACGAACAAAATAAACTGAACGCAGTTGAACTGAATTGAACTGAAACGAACTAAACTGAACTAAATTGAACTGATAAACAGAGAAACAGCCAAACACATATATTGTCAAAACTGATCCTTTAATGTATTTATATTTTGGCAATTAAAATCATACAAAATTCACAGTCAAACC